GGCCCGCCCCCGGCCCGCCCCCGCCACAGCCCTGCTGCCGGCGCAAGTTTGGCTTGACAGTGCAGCGGAGCACGGCGGAGCGATGAGGGCACAAGGAGGTCGCCCGCCCGCCTGCTCAGTGCCTCCTCCGCACCCACTCCCATCACCGCCGCTCGCTCTCCCTCGCTCCCCTGTCTATCCAGTACGGCTCCCCTTGTCTCCGTCGCCGCATATCGCTGGGGAATGCGAGACGCGCTAGACCTGGCGAATGCTGTATGAGGCTGGGGCCTCCCCTCCCTCTCTCCCTCCCTCCCTCCCTGCCACCCACAACGTGTGAGGGCCGCCCAGTATAGAGTATGTCGCTCACGGCCTGGCCCCACGCGTGGCGCGGCCCGGGCGCAGCGGCGTGGCAGGTTTTTGTAAAAGTTGTCGAAGTCGTCCCTCGCTCCTCAGCTGAAACGCTGAATACTGATGCCTGCGGCTGGGGACTTTTGACGTGTAGGGGCGTGGCGGGCGCGGCGTGGCGGGGCGTGGCGGGGCGTGGCGCAGCGAGCCGTGTGCATGATAGGGCGGCGTCTCCTCGCCGATGGAATATCATCGCTGTGAATGGTGATGGCGCCTCACCCCCTTCCCCGCCAGCATTGCCTTATACTACTCGCCTGGTATTACGTTTGGCGGAACTCCCCTCCCCCTCCTCCTCCTCTCTCCCTCCCTCTCCGTCTCTCCGACCCGAATCGACGGTACACGGGGGGCACGGGCCACGCCACGGCGCGAGGCGGGCGCGCCGGCTGTTGTGCGAAAGAGACCGCGGCGCGGGGAGGCAGATGCGCCCGGAGCAAAACGCGACTGTGGGACAGGGACGGATGCAGCGAGCGGCGCCCTCTCCCGAGCGAAAGCGAAAGCGGCGCTCTCGGCATAGGACTCAAAGTGAAAACGCAGCGCACGAAGCGGCACGAAGCCCTCCTCGCAGATGCGCGCCAAAATTTGAAGCGCGGTGGCGCGCGGCGGCTTCCCGCGCCTTACCGCGCCAGTAACAACCCATTGGCCTCGTTACGGCTAATGACGCCATCGGGGATATGGAGGAGGCGATAAGCCGAAAAGGGGCCCGGCAATGAGAGGGAACGGCGGCGGGACCGCGAGCAGCGCAGCGCGGCGCGGCGCGCGGTGTGACTGCGCGCGACGCGCCCTCAAAGTTTTCACGACTTTCGGGCGCGACGCGTAGTTGGCACTCACAAGATGGCGCGCGCGGCGGCGCCGAGGAGAGGGACGACCCCCCGACTACGAAAAAGTCATTCGGTCCGCCGCTGCTGCTGCTGCTGCTTTTGCTCGAGGTCTGGTCTTGTGCGACAGTGACGGCGGTCGTGTCGTGATGTGCTGCTCACCCGGAGAGTGACTCGCAATGACTTCGCCTTGCTTTCGCGGACATTCAGATGAAGGAGAATCAAGGTTTTGACAAGGTTAGGGACGTTTTTGACCTCTCCTGACCCCGTCCTTGGATAACACACATGGTTACCATGCGTGTTATTCTGGTCCCCGTTTTTTTAAGAAAAAAAAATCCGATCTATAGAAAACTTTTTTGTCAGTGGAATCGCGGTCCATTTCCCGGCGAAACTCTTTTTTCACCCCGGGCGCAACACGCGCTGTCTCACCTCGCGTCAGCCGCATGTTCCTGGAGCCGACCGTGGACGAGGTGAGGCCGGTGCAGGTGGCGTCGCCGGACTGCGCCACCGAGTAGCCGTCGGGCGAGGGCTCGTACACGAAGCAGCGGTAGCGCTCCTCGTCGCTGGCCAGCGTCTTGTGGTGGTACTGCAGCCGCCCAACCATGTAGCGCGTCGAGCCCTCCTTCCAGTCCGCGACGCACTCCAGCTCCTCCACTGCAAAAGCAAAACAGGAGTGGTAGAGTCATACGCCGAAACAAAACTGAAAATCATGCGGGTGCCGTATACGACAGACGTTATCGTGTAGAGCACGACCCACACTGATGCAATAAGTGTTCAACTGCTCAACACTTGTAAGTGTGCAACTGCAAGTTAAACACTTGCAAGTGTAGTTGTACACTTGCAAGTGTACAACTACACTACTTGCAAGTATTCAACTTGCAGTTGCACACTTGCAAGTGTTGAGCAGTTGAACACTTCGTTAATCAGGGCAACGAACGTCAGGTGAGCTAGAAATTGCAGTTAAAATATCGTTTATTCGGCAAATTCGGTAATATTACCGGCGCTCAACGCCTGCGAAACTCGGGGTAGGCCACCCCGCAGGACACGCTTGCACTGCGGGCAATATATTGCCTACCCATCAGGCGCCATGAGCTCGCACTGGCTAAACTTCGCTTCGCAAATTCGTAACGGCGAATGACGGACATACTTTCTGGACGATCCCATAGTGGGTAGGGTGGTAAAGTTGTCCTTGTGGAGCTGTCACTAAGTCAAGTCGAGTTGTGACAGCAGCGGCTCCCCGCGCGGCTAACTGGGCCGCGCTGCTGGCTTTGGAAAAATAAAAACATGATGATAATAAAAAGTGACCCTCACGAACGATAAGAGTCCTGCTTACGCAGAGAGGCGCGCTCCTCGCCAGGCCCGGAACACCCGCCGCGCCGCGCGCGCACACCCCCGCTTATCAGCGGTGAGGGGCGGGGTGGGGCGGGGTGGGGCCGCGCGCGGCCCGCTGCAAGTTGAGGAAGACTTGGTGCGGCGCCGGCCCCGCCATGACCAGCGCACCGCGTATCGGATGCCGAACAAGTACACCCCGGCGATGGTGGTGCGGCCCGCGGCCAATACAGGCTGCATCAGCGGCGGCGGGCGGCGGGCCGGGCGGCAGCCACAGGCTTATCTCCGGATTCACTTCGTTAACTAATGCTGCGATATATCACACGGCCGTGGCTGTGCTGGCTGCTGCTACTGCTGCTGCTACTGCTGCTGCTACTGCTGCTGAGGCGGCCTGCCTGCCAGGCGTGCCCTGCTGGGCCCCCGGCCATCCCCACCCCTCCCGCAAGCATTTCAGTATAAACGCGATGTTAACCTGTAATGTGATGCGACGCCCGACAAACTCGCGTAGTCCCCGACGCTGCCATTTTTATTTTCAAGCGGTTGTTTGTTTGTTTTGGTGATACTACATGCGCGCAAACGCAGAGTTTTATAACGAGCACGGCACATGGCACTTTTTCTAGCACTCCGCGCCGCAGCGGCCAGTTCGTCTTTATACGTTATACTATTTTTATCGTGCCTTTATATAAGTATTCTTCTCTGTATAAAATGTACCGCCCATTACTTAAAACGACGTGGATACGAGGCGAGCAGAACCAAGCGCCCGCAGCAGCACCCCCCTGGAGTGCGACCGCAGTCGGACGGCCACAATGTGCAAACAGCCCCGCCCCGCCCCGCCCCGCCCCCTTCGCACCACGCCCTCACGTCTGTCATTTGTTTTCCCGCAGGAATGTGCAATTTTCTCGCCGCGGAGAAAAATCCATCTGTATCGGTCCCGACTGCCGGCGCCGCCGCCGCCACCCACTGCTCTGCTGCTGCAGAGCGGCTCACAACCTCCGAGAAAATTTCCACACACATATACCCGTTTTTTTTCTCTCTTTTTTTTTTTTCAACAGGTGTCGATTGGTTCCAAAGGCAACATTACAGACAGCATCCTTTTCGAAAGTCAGGGTGAGAGGTAATATTGTCATGCATAGTGCAGAACTGCCACTGGGCAGGGCAGAGCCCCAAAAAGATGCGGAAAAGAAGTTCGACATTCGATTGCTATATAGCAAGCTACATTTTTTTTTAAGACGAGTTTAAGACAAAATATTGGCTCAGCACTGGAAAAACTAATGATACCGAGGGAACGTTTCTTGACGCAACCAAACCAGGAAACGTTTGGTGATGCAACCTGTTTGTGATGGTCCTATCCTTTTCATAGGGTAACGTTACCTGTCTTGGTCACATGATGAAACGTTCCCTCGGTAACATTTTAGTTTATCCAGTGATTGGGAACCACCATGAGTTGTACCAGTCAGAAACTACATCTCACATCGCCCTTTGGCATTCGCACAATCACAAATGGACACGGGCAGTCGTTTAATTCCGTCCACCAGCTTTCCCCGTCTATTTATATCTTTGAAACCTGTCTCTCGCGGTCGAAAGAGACCCGACCCGACCTTGCAGACGAAAACCCGCTCATTCTGTTACATGTTCTGTTGAAAGCCGGGCATTCCGCGCGCACCGCGACAGCTAGCCAACCGGCGACCCATGAATAACGAGGAGCGAGGAAGTGTGGACCGCGCTTGACCGTTCTTAATCGGGATGTACTTCTGCATAATGCAAAGAGGAAAATACCCCCAGCTCCTGGAGGTAGATGAAAATAAAACCCGACCTCGTGCTCTCCGTGATTGCGTGGTTGGCACGCCATGGTCGGGCCGGCTGTCCAGCCCGGCCCACACACTAAATGTATTAGTATGTTTTTGTGCAAATGTTCGCACTAAGTTAAACCTACGTTTCGTTCCACACAAATTTGTAAGAAAAAGTGCATGGTTTCCTGCAAATGAATGCACAAAAGTGTTCAAATCAACGCAGAAATGTGTGCAAAAAATTGATTTCTTAAGTTTGTACAGATAAAAGATACAAATCCAGTTAGTGTGCAGCCCGGCCCAGCCTCGGCAAGGGCCACGACGCGCTATCATTCGCTCATATTGACTCAATTCATCCATTCGTTCGTTCGTTGTTCATTTGTCCGACCGTCCGTCTGTTCGTTCGTTCGTTCGTTCGTTCGTTCGTTCGTTCGTTCGTTCGTTCGTTCGTCCATCCATCCATCCATCCATCTGCATCCATCTCCATCCATCCATCCATCTGCATCCATCTTCATCCATCCATCTATCTGCATCCATCTCCATCCCTCTATCCATCCATCCATCATTCATTCATCAGTCATTCATGTCAGTCATTCATCATTCATTCATTAATTCATTAATTCATTCATTCATTCATTCATTCAGACAATTTTCCTCGTATTATTTTGAGGTAAAAATAGCGTTGAAGCAACGCATTTAGCCTTGTTTCAAGGTAACCATTGTCTGGGTGCATTCATTCATCCGTTCATTCATTCGTCCGTTCATTCATCACGCTCTTGCTCGCTCGCTCACTCACCGGTGCTCTCGGTGCTGGGCACGTCCGGGCAGGCCTGGTAGTGCAGCCGCAGCCGCGCCGGGTTGGTGCAGCCGTCGAGCCTCGACACGGGCCAGGCGCACTCGCCCGAGTTGCGCGAGTAGGTGAAGTTGAAGGGCGGGTCGAGCAGCGGGCAGCGCTGCGGCTCCGCGTCCGCGCGGAACATGGAGAAGAGCGTCGTGTCGATGGGCACGCTCTTGCACAGGTCCTGCGCCATCTCCGCCGTCTCGCAGTACGCTGCAATAACACACACGAAGGGGAGGTGGTCAGCCGTGATCAGACTTTCCGTCCACAAACGCGCACCCTGGAGGACGTCGCCGAGGAGCAGCACAGCGAGAGCGCCTCGAAGCACACGTTATTATCATACTGCTCCAGCCCCCCCCCCCTTTTCCTCCCCGCGGCACTTGGGTCGTATGGCCCCGCGCGCTGCTGCTGCACCAGCTGTTTCCAGAGAAGAACCTCGGCGCCCGTCCCAACGAATCACTTCCATTATCTTTCTATTAAATCCCCTAGGAGATTAGCATAAGACCGCATCGTGCAGGAGGACAAAAAAAATGAGGTTGAAAACAAAAGAGAGTTTCCCTCCATTATCGAGTGGGGGATGGGGGTGGTGAGGGGGTAGTAGAGGTCCCGCGTGGGACGTGTACGTGTGTGTGGCGTACGTGAGAGTGGGTATTTGGGTGTGGAGGGGAAAGGGGGAAGGGAGCAGGGGCGGGGCTGAGCGGGCGTAAGTCCATGTCCCTATCTCCTCACGTCAGCTCTCTATGTGGTACAAACCTCCTCCTCCGCCTCGCTCTCTCCCTCTCTCCGTCACATTTCTCTCTCCAGCATTCTCTCTTTTCCTCCGCCTCGGTCCTCTTCCTCTCTCTCGGCTGGTTTTAGCAGCGCTGGGTGAGAACCAGCGGATGCAGCACATTTCCGCGCAATTAATTATATTCGTCGTTGGCTGGATACACCGCGCGTCGCATATCGCGTTACGTCGCACGCTCGAGTGCAGCGCCAGGGCCAGCGACCGTGTCACAGACCGTGTCAGCGACCGTGTCAGCGAGCGTGTCAGCTGGCGGTACGCCATGTCAGCGGTCTAGATCTGGACGGAGCACAGTACTGAGGAGCAAACCCTCACGCGCCATACATACCTCCGAAAATCGCCGCCAGCCAAACAACTCACCTCCAAAACAAACAAACAAAAAAGTGAAATATTCTGCAAATTTGCGGACCCTCACCCTCCCCTTCACTGTATAGTCTTTTTGTCTCGTCTCTTTGGGGGTGATTGTCGTCGACAAGGATCGTGTGCGGATCAGAAAAAGGCCTTGAGCTTCGTGAATGCGTGCGTGAGTGTGAACCCTGTGTGTGTGTAGGTGTGAGTGTGTGTGGTGGAAGAGAGACACAGAGAGAATGGAGTAGTACGAGAGGGGCCGTGCCTCCGAGCGTGTTTTGCGGGATTGCCAACCCTCCAGGCGCTGATTGCAACACAATGCTTAGTCATCAAGTATGTATTCGTGCGCCCCGCAGCGAGCAGCAGGTCGTGAGTCTCTAAGCCCCGATGGTGCCCTGCCCCTCCCCACCCCGCCCCCACAGCACCAGTAAAGCTCTCCTCCGTCTTGAGTCTTCCCAGACCAGACGTACCGCACAAAGGCTGGCGCCCCGCCGCCCCCCGCCTCGCCCCGCCCACAACCCGCACCGCACCCCGGTTGTAAACCGGGTAGGCAACATTAACCTCCATTTGTTCCCCTCCTCAGGTTGATATGGAATCTATACACCCCGCGACGCTAACAAACTATTCCCGGAGGAGTAGAAGGGGGAGGGAAGCAGAAAGAGTTGTTTCTCAACAACGGTAGCACACCCAGAGTACTCCCACTCAGCGACTCGGCGTGGTAGTCGCGTATCTCTCTCTCTCTCCCCTCCCCCTCCCCCTTTTGGCGACGTGTGTGTGGGCGAGAGCCGAGAGGAGGGGGCGGAATATCTCTATGCCGGTAATAATCACGTGACCTCGGGAGCGGTGGTACAAGCAAAGCTAGTCTCACCTCTCTCCGCCTCTCTCTATTCCTCTGTCTTTTCTTATCCTGCGTAGAAACGACACATACTAAATCCCGGGGCTTACAAGAAAAGGAGGAAGAGAGAGAGAGAGAGAGAGAGAGAGAGAGAGAGAGAGAGAGAGAGAGAGAGAGAGAGAGAGTAGCCTGGGGAACAAACCCACA